GGGGGTGGTGGGGCGGCAAGCAGGCAAGGGACTTGTGTGCTGCAAGAGAGAATTAATGAGCTTTGAAATGAGCCTGTGCATGCTTTAAAAAATAACAAGCTGTAATGATGAAATGCATGCATGAAGATATTTTTTTCTGAAGATCTGTCCTTGTTTGACTCTAAATCTAATTGTTCTAAATTTAGAAGAAAGAAAAGTATACGGTCCAATGAAAACGATCAAAATGAAAGACAGACCTGAATGTGCCGAATGAAACAGACGGGAACGTCTGAAAGTTTGTAACATAGCCAACAGTCCTTCTCAGCAAAACTGTCAAAGATACACCTTGTCGACAAGCTTTTACAACGCATTCTACCTGTTCTTCTTGACTGCTTATCAGATTTTTTCTGCTTTGTCACTCATAGGGTGTCCTTGTTTTTGGGTTGCCGGTTAGGGGACAATCACAAGGCCGAAAAATGGTAGAAATACGGCGAAATGTATTATTATTTATGATTCTTCTTTGTCTTTACTTGTGCTTTCACATTTTTTCACACAGAGAAAACAATATCCTCAAACTAACTTTAATAGATTCCCTATAAAATGGTCTTTGTACCAAAAACGCCACTGGTAGGTTCTACTTCTTTTTTTCCCTTTGTAGTTTCTGCCTACGAGCATTTATTGCCTACCCCACCTCTGAAACACTTGTAAATAATATGTATTATGTCGACGTGTTTCTCTTTACTCAAATAAACAAGAATGACCTTATTGGCGTCAAATTAAGAAAAACAGAGACTCAATGTCAGCAGTATACTTAGTACATTTATTATTGTACATATTTTCCCGTTTAAATTAAACTTTCAAAAGTTGCGACATAACACGAGATGCAGCATAAATGTTTCACGATCCAGGTCAAAAAGGACAGCCAGCCTTTTACCGGTTTTGATTTCTCCATTTTCTTGCGAACCAAGACAACCTTGATGGACGTGATCCCTGTGTGTGTTTTTGAGCGCGATGACTAAATTGAGATGACCCAGTTCGCCTTTGATTCGCCGACACTAGGGCGCCCACCTGTTGACTCAAGCTGTTGGCGGGAGATCTCGGTTCTCAGGCCTCCGCGAGCCAAACGGACAATGCGCGTACGTTTCACAGGGCACAGAGTTCTGCGGAAGAAAGTAGAAATAAACGAACCGGTCTGAATGTGTTATGTAAGACAGGTTTAAAAGATTAAAAGACATGACTGTGTTGACGTTTTGTTTCGTTGTTGGATTGTTCGTTTTTGCTGGCGTGTTTTTAATTCAAATTATCTCTTTTGTTTTCCTAATCCGGTTTGTTTATTTCTACCATGCTACCATGTGCCATGCATATTGAGGTGGAGAGCTCAGAGGGCGGGAGAGGAGAAGGGGGGGGGGGTGGTATGAAAACAAAACTTTAATCTAATAGTTGTTAGGCTACTGTTGCGCTTTAAAAAAAAAGTTATTTTCTTATGGGTTTGTTGTACAGTAATGTATATCAATGAGAAAGAGTGGAGGAGTTGGGGAACGGAATGAATAGCCCTACTACACTATAGAAGAGAAGAAGGCGAAGCCCGGCTCCTTAAAAGCCAAGAAAACCTTTATGAAGTTCTGTTTGCAGAGGTGGTTGTTATTTACGTCAATGTATCGTTTCAGACTTTTTTCCTTCCTTGTACCCTGTTCTTCTTTGTTCCCTCTAGCGTGCCCAGTGTCCCTCCACCGGGGTGACCTGTCTGTGTCTACTTGGGGGTTGGTTTTGTAAGAAACCAAAGAAACAAGAGATACTTTTCCTCTTCCCCCTCCCTTCATTGTTATCTTCCTTTTCATCTCTCAGATTCGAAATAGCCATTGTCGTTCATGATTGCAACTCCTCCTACCACCAACCCCCCTCCCTTTTTTCCCCCTTTTAAACACACGCACACGATCACATACACACCCACTTTCCTTTTTCTCTCCGAACTCGACAAGCCTATTTTGAGAATTTATGTACTTTTAATGCTAGATGCTATCAGCCGCGGCCATTTAAATAGGCTTTAAATGTTAACAATAGTCTTGGTTTACCGTCAGCCCCTTGGTACGTTTATCAGGCATGAGTAACCCATGCGTGTAGATACTAAGTCTTCGTAAATCTATGCCAGAACCGAAAGTGCTCCTGAGACAAAGATGGTAACGACAGTGATACTTTTACTTAGGAATCCATGAACGTGACATTGCATGACACCTGTACGGCCAGGCCTTTGCTTCAGGTCCTGTCGATGTTGTCTCGTACATAAGTATGTTCAGCTGCTATCTTTTGTTGTTGCTTTCGTCGTTCTTCTTCTTATGATTGTCTCTATCGGCAAAGAGGAAGAAAGTAAAATCTTCATCCTTAGGCTACGGCTTTGTGCTTTCCGCTTCCCTTGGATAATGATTATATAAAGAGAAATCTTCCTTCTTTTTCCCCTTTTAGAAATAATGAATAATGTCCAAAGAAAAATAGAGAAAGAAGCAAGACTTTAAATTCATATAGAGACGTATGTACAAAAGTTGTACATGTAATTAGCTTCCTTTTCGCGCTTTTATAAAGGCTTGTGGTTTAGGCTGCTGATTAATTGTTCGTTTTAAAGTGCCTATGAACTAGGCCTATCGAATGTTCGAGATGATTGAATTATCACTTAAAATCAATTTAGTGTAACAAGACAGATTTTCGATAACAAAAAAAAGCGGGCAACAAAAACGTAGAAAGAATTTAACGTCAGCAAATTTTGTGCAATGGGTAGATATCACTGACTGTTTTGATCGATGTAGTTATTATTCATTCAGAAAGCTAAAGCACAAATGATAAATAACATAATTATGTCCGTGTTATCAGCACAGAATTTACGAGAAGAAAAGTTACCTCTCTCGTTCTATACGGCACATGCGTGTCAGGAAAAACTCAAGGGGTAAGATAACCGTACACTACGCAATGTACTCGATAAAATAGTTCTTGCGACCTGAAAGTGTCAATGTTATCGCCGGAAACGCGACATTAAAAACTACAACTACGTGAAAAGTCGTACGTTGAGTTTGTGAATGAAATACGTAGCCGCTTATTTTGATGCTTAATTCCCAGAGGAGATTAGCAATATTGGACAAGCAAAAACACCCGTAGGGCTTACACGCAAAGATAACTTTTTAAAAAAAATGTTAATTTACATTTCAAAACCTGTCGGTGCAGACGGGACACAAAGCATGTACACAATAACTCTATTGCTCGTCCCGCTCTTACGCTCTTTTTTCATTTCCATGTCAGCTTC